GTTGAGGTTCTTGAGTGTTGATGCAACTGCATTCATCCAGAGAGTGGAGAGTATTTCATCTGATTCCTGACTTGTCCATTGTTAACAGGCATTGGGGAATAAGGGATAGAGTTATTCAACACAGAATTCTCAGCCTCTGACCTGCACTTGTAGCTATCGTATTCATATGGCTGGTCTAGATCCCACTGCACCAATCTTTGCCTGATCTTACCTTCCAAGGAGCATCTCACATCCATCTAGTACGTCACTGTAACAAGTTAACTAAGCTCATCGACTTGTCATATGAAGAATAACTGCTGAAAAACTATATCACGCTACATTTCCTACACCCTTTCCTAGAATGCCACCCACCTGCAAGTCCCCTCCAAGCCACTCATTATCCTGATTTGCAAATATATCGCCGTTCTTTCACTGTCTCTGGGTCAAAATCCTGGAACTCACTCCTTACAGAACATGGACTGCAGTGGGTCAAGAAGACAACTCGCCACCACTTTCTCAAAGGTGACTAGGGATGGGCAATAAATGCTGGGCCTAGCCAGTGACACCCATGTCCCACAATTAGTTCTTAAAAGATTAGGTCATTGTCAAGGCTGTATCGTTTTATATTTTTGTAGTTTTGATTGTGGGTTGAACTGGAAAATGGAAACTGAGGATTGTGTAAAGTATTACTGCACTTTATAAAAGCAGGTTACTGACATTCTAAGTGTTGCTTACAGTGCTGTTTGTTCAATCAATAGGGAAGTTTTAGTTGCCAGTGAGCTGGAGTCATGGGGTGTAAAAAATGAGTTTCGACCAGCAAGAAGTAGCTGACAGCTCTGTGGAATGGTTTGTTGATGACAATAGCCATATGCCTGTCAACAAGCATGCACTTGGCTCCCAGGTGGCTGTGTGAAGTTGTGGGTGTGATTATTTGGTGAAAAGCTATTAGACCTCCAGAAAGGAAGGTGCTCTCCTTTTCTCAAAAGTAAAAAATAACCTTGTGTCCAAAAAAAGCCAGTTTATTTCCCCAGTTGCTGTAAGCTGTGGCTTTTAGCTAACGTGTCAGAGACTTTCTAAATGTGAACCAGTTACCCTGTGCCTCCTGCAAGCAAGTGAATGTCCATGAGGTAGGAAGATTGAGGACCTGCAAGTCTTTGCTAGGAGTCCAAGAGAGTTCACTACAAGTTCAGATGCAATGACCAGCAATTTGGCTGATCAGGAACATGAGAATTGATTTACATCTGATGGGAAGATGAAGTGGTGTGAGCCTATATCCTTACGTTGTATTATTCATGTTGATACAAAGCCAAAACCACTTACCTTCAAGGTAAATAATGAGGTGTGACTTGTATATTTAGCATTTTCCAAGCTAGTTACTGACATATTTGGGATCCCAGAGTCTCTCTGTAGAAGATGTTGCATTTATTTATTAAATACAAACTGACAATTTAAGATTTTGCAACAAAGTGAAAACTTGCATACCTTAAGCATAGTTGCATATAGTTCCTGGCCTGGCTTTCAAACTAATCACAGATAGATATGCTGGCAATTATAAGAACAGTGAAAATTCCAAACTTGCATTAAAACACATGTTTAAAATTGAATGCTGCATTCCTGTGTTGAATACTGGGCACCTTTCCAGTTGGGGTACCCAGACTAGAATTTGATACACTTAGTTGAAGGTGTGCACTCTGTAAGGAAGTGGTAGTTGACCCTAATAGACCAGATCACCCTGACTGACGATGTGTCTTCGAGGAAGTTCAAGTATTCGGATGGAGATATCAGAATTTACATAGGTTTTCACAGAATATATAGCACTGAGCCAGGTCATTTGAAAAAACTGTCCACGCTTATGCTCCACACAGGATTATTCCCACCCTATGTCAGCTAACCCTCTCAGCCGAACCTTTCTACTTCATTCTTGCCATTACATTTTATCTAGCCTCCCTGTAAATGGATCTATTGCTATTCAACTGAAATACTCCTTGTGGTTGTGAGTTTAATATTCTAACAATTCAAGAAGTTTATTTGAACTTTAGTTTGATGTTCAGTGTTGTTGTAGAGAGTTCTGTGGTATTTCCAACCAGGTTTAATTGATTTAGGAGCACATGAAATATGTTTGCTTTGTATGATGAAAAGTTGAAGTTAACTTTGAGCGGTCTCAATGTCGAATTGAGTAAACACATTATGCTACCTGCTGAACTAGGGCTTGGATAGCTGAGATTCTTAGATTATAGTGCACAATTATACCAATTGCATGGGTTCAATCCCCATACTGCTGGCTATTTCTATTATATAGTTATGCAATTTCTCACATGCATTTATTGTTAATTGAGGCAACCCATTGGTTTAGATAGGGTAAAACAAAGAACTGCATATGCTGAAGTTCTAAAGCAAAAACAGAAATTGCTATATAAACTCTACAGGTCTGGCAGCACCTGTAGGAAAAAAACAGAATTAACATTTTAAGTCCAGTGACCCCTCTTCAGCATTGATAGTAACCATGAAAAGGTGACATGTGTGCTGAAGATGGAAGGGGGTGTGTGGGTTGGATGGGGTCAGGGGAAGTAGATGAATAGGTGAAGATGGAGCCTCGAGATTCAGAAAGATGGGCAGGCAAAGGGATGGACGATGGTAAGCAAGGGTAAGGAAATGGAACGAGGTACACAGTTTCTAAAATTGTTGAACTCGATATTGAATTTTGAAGGCTGCAGTGTCCCCTAGTAGAAAATAATGTGCTGTTCTTCTTATGCTGAGCTTTGCTGGAGCACTGCAGTAAGCCTGAGAAGGGAATATGGTGGTTTGTTGAAGTGGCAGGCAACTGGAAGCTCAGGGTCATTTTTGCCCACAGAACATAGGTGTTCAGCAAGCAGTCACCCACTCTGTGTTTCATCTCCCCAGTGTAGAGGAGACAACATGGTGAGCAGAGAACACAGTAAACTAGATTGAGTGAAGTGCCGGTAAAATCTCTGCTTCACCTGGAAGCTATGTCTGGGGCCTTGGATACTGAGGAGGGAAGAAGTAAACGGGCAGGTGCTTACACCTTCTGCGATTGCAGGGGAAGGTGCCATGGGGATGTGGGGAGGTATTGAGAGTGCAAGAGGAATAGAACAGAGTGTCCTGGAGGGAATGGTCCCTGTGGAAGCCTGACAAGGGAGGGGAGGGGAATTTGTCTGGTGGTAGTATCCTGTTGGAAGTAGTGGGAATGGCATCTTATGATCTTTTAAATGTGGACGTTGGTGGTGGGGTGGTGAGCGAGGACTGGGGGACCCTATCACTGTTGTGGGAGGGATGAAGGGGGGTGAGGGCGGAAATGTGTCGGACATGGCTAAAAAGCCCTGTCAACCACAGTAGTGGGGAATCCTCACAGTAGTGAGGAAAAATGTGGACTCGCCGCCCATCTCCCAAGCACCGCAGAAGGTGACATCATTAGAACTAATATGACAGAGACGGAAAAACTGGGAAAGTGGGATGGAGTCCTTACAGGAAGCAGGTGTGAGGATGTATAGTCCAGGTAACTGTGGGAGTCAATGAGTTTTAGTAGAAATTGGTGGCCAGTAAATCCTCAGAATGGAAGCAGCGATGCCTAGGATATGAGGATCCACAGATCTCTGTAATGATAATTGTCTTGAATGATAGACCAGGAGGCTGTGTGGTTCACCTTGTTCATGATAACAAAGCTTGACGACATGGTAAACAGCAAAAATGGGAACAGAAAGTTGCAAAGAGTTATTGATATGTATGTGAATGTGTAATGCTGAGGCAGTTTGAACACAGAGTATGAGAAAAAGGATTGTTGAGAATCTAGGAACCGTGGATGAGTTGGAGATTTATAGGTTGAATTACAAAAGTCACTTGAGATCTGGTGGACTGGAACAAAAAGTAATCACAATGGGTAATAGATTATTCAGTTTTGTCTCAAGATGCTGGCAGTCAAAGGGTCGGAAGTTATATCACAGCTGCACAGAGTTCTGGCTAGACCCCATCTGGAGTATTGCTCTGGGCACTGTATCTGTGGAACTAGATAGTTGCCTTAGAGAAGGCAGTGGACAGATTCATTAAATCAATACCAGGGCTGAAAAGTTAATTTACAAGAATGTGTTGCAAAAACTCCACTTTCCTCCCTTGGATATGGAAGATTAAGATATGCTTGAATTGAGGTGTTTAAGATGTCTGAAGGATTTGAAAGGGGAGATAGAAAGAAATTATTTCCTTGTGTAGGATAGGCCAGAACAGAGGCACAGCCTTATAATTAGAGTTAGGTAAAGTAGTGCAGTTAAACAGCATCTCTTTACACAAAGGGTGACAGAATTCCAGAACTCTCTCCCTAGGAACACTGTCAACACACGGGTTCAGTGTAGGAGGAGGCCATTCATTCCCTCAAGCCTGCTATGCCATTCAGTAAAATGGTCACGGATCTGATTTTAGCCTCAATTCCACCTTCCTGCTACGTCTGGTAAGGCTGGGTTGATTGTAAAATCTGAGAAGTAAGAATGAAAAGCCACAACCTGAATTTATGGCAAATAAATGACTCCGGGTTTGGCTACCACTCCCAAATAGGAGAATGTCTTGCCTCTGAAAATTGCAGCTAAGTGAATGACAGGTAGCTGTCTGGCCCCAGCAATGTCACCAGGAGTGATTGCCCCTGCTGGGGTGAGAGTCAGTCCACCATGAGGAGCAGTGATTGAGACTGGGTGGAAATGTTGATGGAGTGGTTCTTTTACGGGCAGTAGACAGATACAGAGGATTGGGGTGGGGAGCCACAACTGGGAGGGATGTAGGTAGAAATGCTAATGGTAGTCACCAATGAGAAGGAGAGGAAGGGCACATTGTATGTGAATTGTTAATATTTCATTGTTCCTCAATAGACAAGAGGAACATTCTGAGTGATCTGAAGATATTATTCAAGGGTTTTGTGTTTTTACCCTTCAACTAATGAGTTTGGTTTTCTCCAAAATACTTATTGTCTTCAATTTTCCTCCTTAAATGCCCTCTCTCATGTGAACCTCTTTTGTTTCTAGGTGAAATCAGATGTTATTGTGACGGACCACAGTGTGTAGCAACAGGCTACATGTGCAAGTCCCAACTCTCTGCCTGTTTTACCAGACTACTGGACCCCCAGAATATCAATTCACCCTTATTACATGGCTGTATGGATGCTTTCTCCAACACGACAGAGATCTGCCAATCGCAAGGTTCCTACCACCATAAAGGACACTGGTCACTCTTAGAGTGCTGCTGGGAAGATATGTGTAATTATAAAGGGCTACAGGAAGTTTTGCTGCATTCTAGGAATAGCATGTCAGGTAATGAATACCAAAACATTATTAGTGCATGGTTTATTTGAAAAACCTTCAATAGGATTTTGTCACAATGTAAAAAATAAATAAGGCATCATACTCCACTGGTTTGGGACAAAGGACAGTATCACAATGCATTGAGAAATTTACACTTCACTAGATTTTCTACTTTGAGTCACGCAGTCATACAGCACAGAAACAGACCCTTTGGTCCAACTTATCCATGCCAACCAAGTTTCCCAAACTAAACTGAACTAGTTCCACCTCCCTGCATTTGATCCCTAACCCCCAAATCTTTTACTATTCATGTAGCTATCCAAATGTCCTTTAAATGCTGTAACTGTACCTTCCTCTGGCAGTTCACTCCATACACGAACCATCCTCTGCATGAAAATGTTGTCCCTCAGGTCCCTTTTAAATCTTTCTCCTCACACTTTAAAAACATGCCCCCTAGTTTTGAACTCCCCACTTTAGGGAAAAGACCTTTGCTATTCACCTTAGCTATGACCCTCATGATTTTATAAGCCTGTATAAGGTTACCCCTCAACCACCTGCGCTCCAAGGAAAGAAGGTCCCAGCATATCCAACCTCTCCTTATAGCTCAAACCCTCCAGTCCCAGCAACATTCTGGTAAATCTTTTCTGAGCCCTCCAATTTAAAAATATTCTTTCTATAAAAGGGTGACCAGAACTTAACACAGTACTCCAAAAATGGCCTCACCAACGTCCTGTACAGCCTCAATATGACATTCCAACTCCTATACTCAATGGTCTCAGCAATTAAAGCAAGTATGCCAAATACCTTCTTAACCATCCTATCTACCTGTGACGTAACTTTCAAAGAACGATGTACCTGAATCCCTAGGTCTCTCTGTTTGACAACTCTATGCAGGGCCCTACCATTAACTGTACAAGTCCTGCCCTTATTCATTTTACCAGAATGCAATTCAAATTAAGCTCCATCTGCCACTCCTCAGCCCATTGACCCAACTGATCAAGATCCCTTTGTAATCTTACATAACCTTCTTCACTGTCTACTATACCACCTATTGTGGTGTCATCTGCAGACTTACTAACATGTCTACTAAATTCTCATCCAAATCATTTTTTAAATGACAAACAAAAGTGGACCAAGCGCCGAACCCTGCAGAACACCTTTGGTCACAGTCCTCCAGTCCAAAAAACAACGCTCTACCACCATTGTCTATCTCCTATCGTCAAGCCAATATTGTATCCAATTGGCTAGCTCTCCCTGAATCCCATGTGATCTAATGTTACTAATCAGTCTATCATGCGGAACCTTGTCAAAGGCTTTACTAAAGTCCATGTAGACAACATCTTCCCCTTTGCCCTCATCAATCATTTTGGTCACGTCCTCAAAAAACTCAATGAAGTTTGTGAGACGTGATTTCCCAAGCACAAAACCATAAAAACCCCACGCCATTATTTTGAAGAAGAGCAACTAAGTTCTCTCTAACATCCTGGCCAATATTTATCCCATGACCAACATCACTATAAACACATTTTCTGGTAAATATCCCGTGGGTGACTGTGGGAGCTTGCTATTTGCAAATTGACTTTCACGTATTCCTCTTTACAACCTCAGTAAGTATGTATTGGCTTTAAAGTGTTTTGCCTTCTCCTCAGGATATGTAATGAGTGAACCAGGAAAAATACTCTTCCCTTTCAACCTGGTTAGAAGTTTTGTTAAACAGGAAAAATTTAGTATGACCCAAAGCCCGCTGTAAGACTCAACTTGGCTTAACATAGAGCTAGATAGAACATACAGCATAGAAACAGGCCATTCAGCCCAACTGGTTGATCTTTACCCACCATGTGAGCCTTCTCCCACCTCTCTTCATCTCTCCCTATCAGAATATCTTTCTATTGCTTTTTCCTTGTGTACTTATCTTTTTGATTAATGTTTTTGTTTTGCCCTCTATTTTTCCTGGTCATGCTCTTTTGTTAACCTTTGTTTCAAAATTAAAAACTTCAGCCATTGCATCATCCGCAGACGACAAGGAACTTGATGTAATCTCTGATGTGTCAGATTAAGGGCATTCATTGATTTGTTTACAGCTTTAGAAATGGAATAATATAGAAACAGGAAAAGAATATAGGGTGAAATCTTATAGGGGCATGTATAATGTGGGCTATGGTGAGGAATGTGGCAGAATTGTGTGTAAAGTCCAACTGCATCTATTTCAACGCTGTAATAATTTATTGCATCATTTAACTAAATTCCAGGCATTATGTTGAGATTCTCACTAGGCAGCGGCAAATTGCTAATTGGAGAGATTACTGCTTTTTAATGACCTTGTTAGTCGCATATATCACCTCATTGTTATGCATCTTCCCATCCTACCACCTGCCACAAGCAAATTAGATGCTGAGAATTCTTGATATAGACATCAGAGAGGTACCTGGTGACTTCAGCTCACAGTTTGCTCCATTTTAAACACCTGGTCACTAACCTCTCTGGACACATTCCAAGGGCACCAGCCATATTAACCCCACATCCAGGGTCATTGGCATCTGGATGTACCAGGCTCTAAGAACCCTCACGGTGCATCTCCAATCAACTTACAGTACGCTTCCATGATTCAATGCTGCAGCTCAGGACAATATCAACAATCATTGTAGTGCTGCAGCAAGGACACTTTGTTCACCCAGTTCACAAACTGGACCAGGCTGCACCTCTGTTTGCTTGTTCTCTCAGCGCTAACTCACTTTGAGCCTACCGGACGCTTACAGCCTTGTTTTGTCTCTCAGATAGAGAGCTCAGGCTGATGTACTGCATTGCCTTGAAAAGCCAGGAAGTTTGTCAAGGTTGTCTGCTGTCCTTAGTCAAGCCAAAACTGATTACCTTTGCTCAGGGAGTCCTGGCACAGTAAGTTGGGGCTGTTTCTGAGACCAGTCCAGGGTATTAGACATGGTCAGTCAGCTGCTCAGGGCTGTCAGAGTTGAGATGAAGGCTAATCGACAGACCAAATTTTGGGCAAGCCACTTTGAGTGCTGTATTGTGGGTAGAAAAGGAATGGGAGGTATTGAGGGAGATGAGAGTGGGTGACATAGCTGGTACTTTTGGTGAAGATGGGGAGGGACAGGGTAAGTAGTCAATGTGACAAGTTCAGGAAGATATGGTAAGAGATTTCAGTAGGTCTGGAAGAGAGAAACCCTCGGTGAAACTGACACCTAGACAAAAACACCTCAGATTCAACCATAGATAACACAGTGTAGAGCTGGATGAACACAGCCGGCCAGGCAGCATCGGAGGAGCAGGAAGGCTGACGTTTCGGGTCTGGACCGTGAAGAAGGGTCAGCTTTCCTGCTCCTCCGATGCTGCTTGGCCTGCTGTGTTCATCCAGCTCTACACCTTGTTATCTCAGATTCTCCAGCATTGGCAGTTCCTACTATCTCTAAGATTCAACCAGTTGTTACAAATGCTATGAAAGAGACCTCAATCTTAGTCTTTACTGCAGTGCTCAGCATTAACCCTGTCACACCCTTCCGTCCTATACAACAAGTACACCTCCAGCAGCTGAGTATGTTTTCACTTTATTCCAAGTCTTTTGACATTGCTAATATTTGTACCTTTCCCCCTTGGTACGAATTAACCTTGTGTTACCCTTAACCGGCTTTTCCATTTTGTTGTACCGCTGTTCACAAACAAGTGCATTTACATTTATATTCACAATCCACTTTATATATCATCTCAGATTCTGTTCCCCACTAACCTATATCTTCTGATGAGAACAAATTGAGTTTTTTTAGTCTGTCTTCACAGCTCATTGAATCAAAGCTGGGACTTAATCGTTTAATTTCTCCAAATTCTTTCCGCTGCTTCTATATCCTTGTGTAAGTACAGTGATCACAGCTGTACACAACACTCCATGTGTGGTCTACCCTGATGTTTCCTAATGACCTCAAGTGCAGTACCACTGCTGCAGGAGTAGCATTCCACCACTCCCACAGTTGAGTATGGATGGTTAATGCGTTTATGTTGTGCTCCACAGAAATCTTCACGGAGGAAACCGTGGCTTAATTTGAAATTAGTTGGAAGTTATCCAAACTCTCTTGATGCCCAGTTGTGCTATTTCTGAGGCACGTTCTTCCTTGTGGATGTAGTGCTAGTACTGTGGAGGACACAAAGTACCACTTCACAAAGTTGGTGTCCATGCAGCTCCACTGGAACACCAATGTCAAATGTAAACACCTGCCCTTGAGATCTTTCAAATATACCATAGAGCACAGACTGAGCTTTGCTTTAAATTTCTCACCTGTAGGTCAGTACCTCCAACAATGCAGCACTCCCTCTGTAAAGAGTGCCCACTTAATTTGTTTTTGTCCAAGGGTCTAGTGTAGAACTCGCATCTTGCAGCTTCTGTTGCAGAAGGAAGAGTGCTACCACAGAGCCACAGCTAACAGATGGAAAATACAAGTTGCGATCACAATCTTTGAATCCCTTTTGCACAATCTCATATGCATGCAAGAAAGCTATCTTGCTCTTTCTTTACGTCCATTTGAGGACTATGGCAATATTAAAGTATCCATTGGTGAACTGCCACAAAAACTAATGAAGCGATATTTACCATCCAGTGCCCTAACTAGTTGAATTTTGGTCTTGTTCACATTGTTGCCAAGCACAACCACATTAGGTGCTATCTACATGCCTGTCAGAGGAATGTTAATGTACAGGAGAAACTCAGCATGTATGGCAGTGCCTGTGGAGAGAGAATCAGAGTTAAGTCTCAAGTCAGTTCTGACTGTTCTTGAAGAAACACCTTAATCATCTTGAATCTTGTTGAACATTTTCTGTTTTTATTTCAGATATTCAACATCTGCAGTATTTTGCTCTCATTTTAATACACCCTATTTGCAATACAAAACAAAACCGAATCATTTCATTAGCTGTGGCCATTGTTTGCAAGCCCAATATTCGTTGCCCCCACCAAATGCCCTTGAAATGAATGGCTTGCAATGTCTTTTCATGTTCAGAAACAACCG